GCTACTATGCAACATACTACAACTACTATTCGTACTATTGTTACTGATACTAATGCTATCACTAATTGCATTATTAAATGTGCCAGTACTAAAACTCGTGCTGGCAATCATTAGGATAAGACAAGGCGGAAAAGGAGGAGGATGAGAAGCAGGAGGAGGAGAAGGAGGAGGAGGAAGAGACCGAGGAGGAGGACGAGGAGGAGGATGAGGAGGAGGAGGATGAGGTGGACGAAGAGGACGACGAGGAGGACGAGGAGGAGGAGGAGGAGGTAGAGGCGGACGAGGAGGAGGAGAAGGAGGAGGAGGAGGTGGGATGATGATGATGATGCTGATGCTGATGATGATGATGATGATGATGATGATGATGATGAATGATGATGATGATGAGGAGGAGGAGGAGGATGATGAGGATGAGGAGGATGATGGATGAGGAGGAGGAGAGGTGGAGGAGGAGGATGAGGAGGAGGAGGAAGAAGAGGTGAACGAGGAGGACGACGAGGAGGACGAGGAGGAGGAGGAGGAGGAGGAGGAGGAGGAAGAGGCGGATGATGATGATGATGATGAGGAGGAGGAGGATGATGAGGAGGAGGAGAACGCGGAGGAACAGGCGGAGGAGGAGGAGGAAGAGGAGGAGGAGGAGGAAGAAGAGGTGGCGGAGGAGGTGGAGGAGGAGGAGGCGGAGGAGGAGGAGGAGGACGAGGACGAGGAGGAGGAGGCGGAGGAGGATGAGGAGGAGGAGGCGGAGGAGGAGGTGGACGAGGACGAGGGCGAGGAGGAGGAGGCGGAGGAGGAGGAGGAGGAGGAGGAGGAGGCGGAAGATGTCGAAGTAGGGGGGGGGAGGAGGTACTGATTGAGAGGGCGGAGGAGCAGGACGCTGCGAAGCCTCCCCCCCGCTCCCCGCGGCGGCAGGAGCGGGGCGGCGCGCCCTGGGAGAGCAGCGGGCTCATCGACGGGCCTGCGTGGGCGCGGGCTGGGCGGTTCCACGGCGGCCGCCGCCGGCACTGCGGAAGCTGCATGCCCAGAGAAGAACCGAGCATTTTCTTTGGGGTGGAGGGCAAAGGGTGAAATCTGAAGTGCTGTTTCGATGGATTTTCACAGGCCAGAAGGCGCCGCCAGAATTCCCACCGTCGCCGCCTGGAGGGGCGGGGCTTCCAGCGCCAGCGACACCAACAGCAGTGCCAGCGCCTGTTACGCCAGGTTCAGCGATTCCGCCAGGGCAGTGGACGCCGACGCCAGTGGCAGGGTCCCTTCGTGCCGGTGGAGGGCAAAGGGTGAAATCTGAAGTGGCTTGAATCTGCAGGTGGTGAATCACAGGACGGGTTGATTCTCGAGGTGCAAGAGCCCACATGGACTTCACCCCGACGCCTCCACCCTAAGAGGATGCTCAGAAGAATTCCATCGGGGAGACGCAAGGCTCGAGTGCGCCAGAAACCAGGTCTTCCAACCGTTTCTGACGAGCGCGCTCTGGATTTTGGCGGTCCGGTTTTCGCGGGACGCTTGCAGCGGGAGCTCGCGTCAAGTTTCAGATGGGGTCTCGTTATTTTCATGATGGCCCCGTCAGGCCAACCCGAGTCCCCCGAACCCGAGCCTTCCGTCTCCCCGTTTCCAGACGCTTCGCGTAATCTTACCAGCCCATCCGGAAACGATGCCCAGATGAGTTGCCCTGATCAGGGGTTTGGAGGAACATGCAGTAGAAGAAAGGGCCCTCCAACGCCCGAAAGGGCTGGTGGGATTATTGGTGATCTCTGGGATCGGTCCTGGGCGCTCTCGCCTCGACGACGGCTGCATTTCCTTTTTGGCACCAAGGCTCCCGCTCGAGCGCGGGCTCGGGGACCAATGCGGATTCTTGGAGGCCCAATTGCGACGACAAGGGCTCCCGCTCGATCCTTCGCCCCAATCTACTCCGAAACGCCCTGACCAGAGAGGGCCCTGGCCTCAGGAGCGGCGCGCTCGCACGAGACTTCCGCGGAATTCCGCCAAGTCGATGGAGGCCCAACGGGGGCAACTGTTCCCGCTCGGCGCTTCTTCCCATCTCACTCCTGGACGCCATGGCGGCCAGAGGAGGGCCTCGGATGCAGGAGCGGCCCTCGCCCTGGCGCGGCACGCGCACTGCGCCTTGGCCGCAGTGGGCCGCCGCCGCGTCGACCTGGAGGCCGGGGTCCGCGCCGCGCCGCCCGGAGGTGGCGCTGGCCGCGCGGGGGCCCTGCCGCTCCAGGCGCTGGGCTGGGTCACTGGCGCCTGGCAGTGGCGGCGCAAGGGCGCGCACGGCGCCTGAATGGAGGGCAGTGGCGGGTAGTATTCTGTGTTGGTGGGGCAGATGGTGAGTGTGCTCGAGCGTGGGGGGGAGGGGGTAGGGAGAGGTTGAGGGGGGGCGAGGGAGGCTCAGAACGAGGAGGATGGAGGAGGATCTTCCGTGGCAGGGGAGGGAGGCGGCGACGAGGGGCGACTGCGACCAGCTCTGCCGCGCGCTTGGCGCCCCCCCCACGTCGTCTTCGTCGTTGCCGCCGCCGACAGGTGGCTGCTTCGCCGTCGTCGCCGCCATTGCCGTCGCCGCCGCTGCCGTCGCCGCCGCTGCCGCTGCCGCCGCCGCCGCCACCGCTGTCGTCGTCGTCGTCGTCGTCGTCGTCGTCGTCGTCGTCGTCGTCGTCGTCGTCGTCGTCGTTGTCGTCGTCGCCGGCGGCGGCGGCGGCGGCGGCGGCGTCGGCGCCGGCACCGTCGTCGGTGGCGACGTTCGTGGTCGCCGCCGCCGCGCGGCGCGCCCGAGGCTCTCCGTCTACGTCGGGGGCCCGGGCGTCTCGGCCGCCGCCCGCCGGCCGCCAGTCAGGGCCCGCCTCCGGTGCGGGCCGCCTGCCCCGCCGGGCACGGCGCGCGCCGTGCGCGTTCGGCCTGGTCGGGAATGTTAGGTTTGCCTTTTGTGCCCCGCCCCCCTCCCTACCTCCTCCCTCTTCTTCCCCTCCCGCCCTCCCCCGTTCCCCGCCACTTCCCCCCCTCCCTCCCTTGTTCTGTTTGCTTGTCTGTCTATGTGTCTGTCTGTCCGTGTCAGTGTCTTTGCCTGTGCCTGTGTCTGCGTCTGCGTCTGTGCCTGTGTCCGTGTCTGTGCCGGTGCCTGTGCCTGTCTCCTCCCGCCAGCGCGGTCGATCTGCTCAGCCGCCGACGCAACAAGTCTGTGTGCCTGTGCCTGTGCCTGTGCCTGTGCCTGTGCCTGTGCCCGTGTCCGTGTCCGTGTCCGTGTCTGTGTCTGTCTGTCTGTCTGTCTGCCGCGTAATTCGGTGAGAGCGAGGCGCGGCGCGGCGCTCGCTGTGCAGGCCCGTGGGCCCCCGCGGGCTCCCCCAGGCTCGCTCGAGAGCCGGGCGCGGCCGCGGAGAAAAGCGGTGCCTCGCCCACGGGGAAGGAGGGCGAGTGGCGAAGGAGGGGCCAGGGATAGGGGAACGAAAAATGACATAAACAGAAAAGTTCGGAGGTCCGCGCGGATTTCTCGGATCGGCGCTGGGGCCCCCCGACGGCGCCTCCGGCGCCGCCCCTGGCGCGCTCCGCGCGCCAGGGAGGGGGGGTCCAGCACCGATCCGAGAAATCCGCGCGGACCTCCGAGTTTTTATGTTTATGCCACTTTTTGTTCCCCTACGTAAGGGAGGAGGGGTGGAGGGAGGGCGCGGTGAGGGGAGCACGGAGGGAGGAAGTGGCAGGGAGGGAGGCATGGGACGGGCTGGAGGGAGGGAGGGGAGGACGGAGGGAGGAAGGATGGCGGGAGGGAGGGGATGGAGAGGGATAAGGAGGAGGAGGAGGAGGAGGAGGAGGAGGAGGAGGAGGAGGAGGAGGAGGAGGAGGAGGAGGAGAAGGACGACGACGACGAGGTGGACGTATTCACCATTTGGGCTCCAGCTTCGCAGCGGGAGGCTCAGGGGCCGGGAGTTTTTGGCATTGGGGAGGAACGGCCCCGATTGCGTTCCTGGTGACGCCCCGCCGCGCGGTACTGCGGGTTCACCCCTGGCTTGTTTGGTTCGCAATTATCATGAGGGGGAGAACACACACACATACAACACAATTTATCGTCGCCTCCTAGGAAAAGATGAGAAAATATGGGAAGTGCGGGGAAGACGACAACCCAGAACATATTAGAAAAAATGTGCGGAGTCCTGGGATGTGTGTCTATTTGTTTGTGTGTCCCAGGGCCCCTTCAAATTAATGGAGGTCCATGGCAGACTTCAAACGTGGTGGTGCAGGTACTGTAGGTGCGGGTGGCAGTCCGATTCTGCCTGTGGTGACAGCTGCAGAGTCTGCGGCCCCTCCCCTGGGGATCAGCCTTCTCGCAGCACGGCAGGGGACCGCGAGCTCGTCGCCTTTCTCAGCGCCCCTCCCCGGGCCCCGGGCAGGTCGCAACTGTGAGGCCCGAACTCACCGGGAGCATCGCCAGGAGAACGGCCGAGGAGCATCGGCCTCTTTTTTGCGAGGGGCTGCGATCACCACCCTGGTCGCCGGAGCCAGGGGCGGGGCCGCGCAGCGCAGACCTGCAGCGCCTGGCCGAGAGCAGCCTCCAGCGCCCCCTCTGGGGGGACGGGGGGTGGGGGGAGCAAGGATGGGGGAGCAGGCGGAGCAGGAGGAGCACTCGTGGGATGATGGGCAGGAGTGGGAGCACGAGGTGGAGGAGGGGAAGCACGATGAGGCGGAGGAGGGAAGGAGACGGAGGGCGAGAAGGGGGAGGCGGGGGAAGGAGACGGAGAAGGGGAAGGAAGACGAGGGCGAGGGCAAGACGAGGATGAGAGTCAGAGTGGGAGGGGCAGGAGGGGGAATGGGGAGTGGAGTAAGAGAATGTAGTTTAGGAGGGTGTGCCGGGGGGTGAGGACTATACGCTGTTCCAGGCTTCGGCCTTCATGCTACATGTGGGGGCTGAGTTGGGCCCCCAACCTGAAGCACAGCAGATCGAATGCGCACCTCGAATCGGGGACTCTCCTCGCGATGCTGCAGCTGCCTCCCTTTCCCGTTCCTCTTTCTTCCGCTTCCTCTCCCCCCCCTCCTTGATTCCGAACTCTGCTCCGCTGGCCGCGCGAGTTCCATGGCCCAATCCGCACCAACGGGGTGCGATACATGGATGTAATAGTTCCTGATTCGTTTCGGCTTGTGCCACAGCCGCCAAAGCCTCATTTGGGCCGAGCAAGGGTCATCGCGAGCAGAAGAACCCCTAACCCTAATGACACGATGAAGACGTGGCCTCGCTTAGGTCCCCGTCCTCGCATTTGGGACAATACTTCTGGGCGGCTGGGCCCGATACATCTGCAGGACAGTCCCCCTCTATCCATGGTGTTTCTGGCCCTCCTAACTTAGGAGGAGGAGGAGGAGGAAGAGGAGGAGGAGGAGGAGGAGGAGGAGGAGGAGGGGGGAGGAGGAGGAGGAGGAGGAGGAGGGCTTAGGGGCCCTTCTTTGGTTAATCAAGGGGAGGGCGGCGGGGCTCTCGGGCCTCCGCGTGCCCGTGGGGAGGATTCGGTGGGCCTCGTGCTCTGGTGATCCCCGCCCTCTCACCCGGCACCGCCCTCTCTCCCTGTCTCTCTCCCTCCCCTCCCGAGCCCCGCCCTCTCCCTGAGCCCTCTCCCTCTCCCTCCCCCTCTCCCTCTCCCTCCCCCTCCCCCTCTCCCTCTCCCTCTCCCTCTCCCTCCCCCACTCCCTCTCCCTCTCCCTCTCCCGAGCTCGCCCTCTCCCTCTCCCTCTCCCTGAGCCATCTCCCTCTCCCGAGCTCGCCCTCTCCCTCTCCTCCCGCGCCCCGCCCTCTCCCTGAAGCACGTCTTGGCGGGGAAGCGCCGCCGTGCACCAGAGCCGAGGGCGCCGAGGCGCCACCGCCCCCCCCGTCTCGGGACGGCCCCCGGGGCCGATAGGCAGCGCGCCGTTGGCTCGGTCGCTCCCTGCGGCGGGACGGGGCACTGAGGCCCCTGGGGCCTTCAAAAGGAGGAGGAGGAGGAGGAGGAGGAGGAGGAGGAGGAGGAAGGAGGAGGAGGAGGAGGAGGAGGAGGAGGAGGAGAAGGATTTTAGGAGGGGAGAGCAGTAGGAGGGAGGATGAGAGAGGATGAGGATGAGGATGAGGATGGAGGAGGAGGAGGAGGAGGGAGGAAGAGGAGGAGAGGAGGGAGGAGAGGAGGAGAGAGGAGGAGGAGGGAGGAGGAGGAGAAGAGGAGGAGAGGAGGAGGAGGAGAGGAGGAGGAGGAGGAGGGAGGAGAGGAGAAGGAGAGGAGGGAGGAGAGGAGGAGGAGGAGGAGGGAGGAGAGAGGAGGAGGAGGGAGGAGGAAGGAGGAGGGAGGAGCAGGAGCAGGAGGAGGAGAGGAGGAGGTGGAGGAGGAGGAGGAGGAGGAGGAGGAGGGAGGAGGGGGGAGAAGGAGGAGGCGGAGGAGGAGGTCCCACACGGATGCGACCCCGGGTGGGGTCGGCGGGTACCGAGTCCGCATTCGCCGGCCCATGCCGTCCTCCGCTGGGAAGGCGCAGCCGCGCCACACGTGGAGCCCCCTCCGCGCCTGCGAGCCGCGAGCGTGCCCCCACACCGCTGACGAGGGTGGTGACGACGACCTCCTCCTCCTCCTCCTCCCGCCTCCTCCTCCTCCTGCTCTTCCTCCTTCTCCCTCCTCCTCCTCCTCCTCCTCCTCCTCCTCCTGGGAAGACGAGCCGAGGTGGATGAGGTGCCTGCGATGAGATCGCCCCGCTGTGGTCAAATCAGTCCTTTGCGTTCCACGACGCGAGCCCGGGCCGCCCACGGAGGATGGCAACGTATCGGGCGATGAAGGCAACGATGCCGACGACGTCGACGACGACGACGTCGACGACGACGACGATGACGATGACGATGACGATGACGATGATGATGATGATGATGATGATGATGATGATGATGCTGATGATGATGATGGTGACGATGATGATGGTGATGATGCTGATGATGATGATGATGATGATAAAGATGATGATCATGATGATGCTGATGATGATGGTGGTGATGACGACTGCTAAGGAGCCTGATGATGAGCTTAATGTTGATCACGACCATGATGATGACGATGTTGATGGTGTTGATGATGATGCAGATGATGCTGATGATTAGGATGATGTGGATGACGATGATGATGATGATGATGACGCTGCTGATGATGGTAATATTGATGACGCTGATGATGATACTGACGACGATGATGATGATGATGACGATGATGATGATGATGATGATGATGATGATGATGATGATGATGATGATGATACTGATGTTACTGCTGCTGTTCATGATGATGATGGTGGTAATGCTGATGGTGGTGGCGGTGATGGTGATGGTGATGACGCTGATGATGCCGATGATGATGCTGATTCTGATGATGATGAAGAGAATGATGAAGATGATGATGATGATGATGTGCATGCTGATTGGGATGCTGGGGATGCTGTTGATGATTATGATGATGATGCTGCTGCTGGTGATCGTGATAATGATAACGATGATGCTGATGATGATGCTGATGAAAATGAAATGGTAATGATGATGATGATGACGATGATGATGATGATGATGATGATGATGATGATGATAATGATGATGGCGAGGATGCTGCGCTGCTGATGATTATGATGATGATGACCATGATCATTGACGTGAGTATGATGATGTTGCTAATGACTGACATGATTATGATGATGCCGATCTGATAACGAGGGTTATGACGTTGAGGTTGAGGGTCATGGTGACGATGACGATGCCGATGACGATGACGATGATGATGGTGATGCTGTTGGTGATGCTAATGCTGATGATGTTCATGATGAGGATGATGACGAAGCTTATGCTGATGATGCTGATGATGATGACGTTTAGGATGATGAGGATGATGACGAAGGTGAAGATGCTGACGATGATGATGATACTGATGCTGCTGATGATGATCATGATGCTGCTGCTGATGATGATGCTGCTGATGATGATGCTGTTGATGCTGGAGATGACGATGACGATGACGAAGCTGATGACGATGATGATGATGGTGGTGATAATGGTGGTGATGCTGATGATGGTGATGATGATGCTGATTCTGATAATGATACCGATGATGATGATGATGATGATGATGATGCTGATGCTGCTGATCAGGATGATGATGATGATGATGCTGATGCTGCTGATGTGATGATGTGAATGATGATGATGATGATGATGATGATGATGATGATGATGATGATGATGATGTTGATGATGTTGATGATGATGCAGATGATGCTGCTGATGATGATGAGGATGATGATGAAGGTGATGATGCTGATGATGATAATGCTGCTGATGATGATGACGACTGTGATGATGGTTGTGATGCTGATGAGGATGATGATGAGGATAGGGCTGCTGATGATGATGATGCTGACGCTGATGCTGCTGCTGATGATGATGATGAGAAGGAGGGCGACGACGATGACGACGATGATGCTGATGCTGATGATGCTGCTGATGCTGCTGATGATGATGATGATGATGATGATGATGATCATGATGATGATGAGGAGGGTGGTGATGATGATGATGATGATGATGATGATGATGATGATGATGAGGATAATGAGGAGGAGGAGGAGGAGGAGGAGGAGGAGGATTGGGGGTTGTGCTGATATGGACGGTAACGATACAGTTGCAGACCTCCCCTTTTCCTTGTACGCGCCAGATCGAGCGGGCAGCAATGGCGAGGTACCCGTGGCCAGGATACAGACTCTTGGTATGCTTCGTTAGGTGTACCTGGGAGGCGCATATTTGGGATGCGTCGACCATCCGCAAGAGAGCGTGAGCGCTTAGGGTATTTTGCCGATCCCCTCTCACTTCAGGGAGCCATGGGGGATATACAACTCTGCGGCAATTAGCAAGGCTTGCCAGTTAGGGTGTCAATGATCTGCAGGGTAGCGAGTGTTTACTGAGGATTCTTCTGTGCGGTTCTATTTTGTGTAGTTGGGCAAGGTTTCACAATCGTCCAGTGCCCATATTGCCTGTTTCCCTTCTTCATCATCGCCTCGGCCTTTGCATGCCAGTGACCCCTCACCGTACATACACAACCCCCTTTGCTTGTAACCGCGGTGCTGGCCCCATTTTGCATTTCAGCCTCGCTCTTTCCATCACGGGCATCAGCGTGGTCGCTGCCCAGTGTTAAGTCGGGCGTGTCTTTCTACAGGAGGACTCTCCCAAAATAGTCAAACAATCGCCTGGGAACGAATCTTTGAAGTTGTTTTTTTGTCTGTCTGGGGTATGTTTGATCTCTCGTCCAACATCCGCCTGTGGGGGGACACGCCCGACCTCAGCCCAGTGTGTTGAGCCCCAGCAGTCCTCCGACTCGCAGCACACGTGTGTGCGGTAGCTTCGCGTCGTGTGGACGTGGCGGCGACGCCGCCGCGGGGCGCTCGAGGCTGCGCGCCGCCGGTGGCCCGGCGTCGGACGGCATGGAACGATCTCGCGATCGGGAAGCCAACGACCGTTCCGAGGCTGAACGATCAGGATCGACACGCCGCGAACGCCGCTACTGGCCCAGCATTGGACAGCACGGAACGGTCTCGCGATCGAGAAGCCAACGACCGCTCAGGGTTGATCGAAGAAGAGAAACGCTATGAGCATAAACTTTTAGCGCTCCGCGCGGATATCTTGGATTCGCGCTGGGGCCCCCTGGCGGCGCCTCCGGCCCCGCCCCTGGCGCGCTCCGCGCGCCAGGGAGGGGCTCCAAGAAATCCGCGCGGAGCGCCAAGAGTTTTTGTTTATGCCGTTTTTTCTTCTAGTGGAACGATCAGGATCGACACGACGCGAGCCTGCCGTATTTCTATTGCGCCTCTGTTCCAGCTCCCGCTCGCTCGGCAAGCGAGGTGGGGAGCTTTGGTGCTATGTGGCGTCTACGCTCTCGGAGTTGTCGTCAGCCTAGCGGTGTACGGCCTGTCGCAGGAGAAGGCTCCGTCTTCCATTCTTCTCCATTCACGCTGGTCTACAGGATGATGTGGAGGGATTAGTAAGTGGGGGTGGGATGAGGAAAATGATAAGAAGTGGACAGAGAGGAGGAGGAGGACTAGGAAGAAGAGGAGGAAGAGGAGGATGATATTGTTGATGATGATGTTGAAGAAGAATACGGCGATCATGATGATGCTGATGCGGATGATGATGCAGATGGTGATGATGATGACGATTAGGATGCTTATGCTGATGATGATGATGAAGATGACGATGATGATGATGATGATGATGATGATGATGATGATGATGATTATGATGATGATGATCATGACGACGATGACGATGACGAGGATGATGATGATGCTGCTGATGCTGATGATGATGATGTTGCTGATGTTGATGATGTTCTTACTATGATGATGCTGATGATGCTGCTGATTCTGATGATGCTGATTACGATGATGATGCTGATGATGATGATGCTGATGATGCTGATGACTATGATGCTGATTATGATGATGATAACGACGATGATGATGCTGATGACGACCACGTTGCTGATGATGATGATGCTGCTGATTATGCTGATGATGCTGATGCTTATGCTGGTGATGGTGGTGATGATGATGATGGTGATGGTGATGATGATGCAACTTATGGTGATGACGATTCTGCTGCTGGTGATGATAATGATATGATACTGTCGATGACGATTCTGATGATGATGCTGCTGCTGCTTTTATGATTATGATGATGATGCTGATGATGATGATGATGATGATGATGATGATGATTATGCTCATGATGATGATGATGATGATGATGATGATGATGATGATGATGCTGATGCTGATGATGCTGATGCTGATGCTGATGCTGCTGCTGATGATGATGATGATGATGATGGTGATGAGGATGAGGATGGTGGTGGTGGTGGTGGTGGTGGCGGTGGTGATGATGGTGATGATGATGATGCGGAGGAGGAGGAGGAGAAGGAGGACAGGGCGATTGAGGAGGAGGAGGGGGAGGCGGAGGAGGACAGGGCGATTGAGGAGAAGGGGGAGGACTGTGTGGAGGATGAGAAGGAGGAGGGAGAGCAGCAACAGCAGGAGCAGGGGGAACAGGAGCAGGAACGGCAGGAGCATGGGGAAGAGGAGGAGGCGGAGGAGGAGGCCGACGTCGCTGCACCCGGTCACGACGTGGGCCCCCCACGGGGCTCTCGACGGCCGCCCTCGCCTCAGGGGGTCGGAAGATCGCGCCCCATCGCTGGTGCACTGTGGATGCGGCGCCATCGGGAGCACGTTCGGCAGCAAATCAAGGGAGCTTGGTATGCCCTCTGAATTCCGTCAGTAGCGTCGATGAGCGCCGATTGTCGTCTGGGAGTCGATGAGACGGTGCCGACTTGGCGTCGGTCAGCGTCGGTTTAGCACCGACTCGCGTCGATTCCGCGTCGATCGGCTTCGATTCGCAAGGGCCGACACGATGGTACGGGAGGCTCCCATGGGTTGCCACCGAAAGCACGGCTTCTCCCCGATCATTGTGCAGTCGGACCGAGGTATGCGGTCGAGGTCGGTTCGGGGAGGGTAGCTTGGTGTTCTTCGTGTTTGTTGGATGTTCTCGTGCATCCTAGGGAGGGTACGGACGTTCTGTTTGTTTTGGCCGACGGAGGGTCTCATGTTATTGCGGGATGTTCTTCTGGCCTGGGTCCGATTGTAAGACAACCAAACTGCGCGATCAGAGCACGTCGGTACAGTCTTCTTTTGCCGGTATCGGGTTGACGTTTCGCTCCTTCTGGGGTCCTTCTGGGCCAAGCTGGCTGCTGACGCCGTGCATGCACCAGGGTTGTGTGGGAGCATTGCTCCAGCACGTCCTGCGATCTCTCGCCCTAGGCGTTCTGTTATACGCCCCCGCGGCCCAGGCACGGCTCCCTCCGCCGTCTGGACGATCGTGAACAACCCGACCGTCGCGTCTTTGTTCTCGCAACGCCTGTGGATCTGGGGCTCAGCGTGCAGCCAAGACGCTGATAAAAAAGGTCACTTGGGCTCAGGAGGGGCTCTGGTTTTGCGGCCGCTCCTCAGATCTAGGTCGGAGGACCTTTTCGTGGCCGAGGCTCGCAGTGGCCAGGAGAGCCCTTTCGTTCCTCGTGCAGCGTTCTGCACGGCAGCGCGCTGACTGTAGCCTGCTGCGGCGGCGCCTCCGCAGATCATGTCCCGCCCGTACCACAGCGGCACTGACCTCACCGAGTACCTCTCGGCGTTCAGCGCGGACGCGGTGCCGCAGGCCTCCTCCCTCCTCCTCAGCCTGCTCCTTCCTCCTGCTCCTGCTGCTCCTGCTCCTCACCCTTCTGCTCCTCCTCTTCCTCCTCCTCCTCCTCCTCCTCCTCTCGCCTCTTCTTCTTCTCTCTCTCTCTCTCCTCCTCCTCCTCCTCCTCCTCCTCCTCCTCCTCCTCCTCCTCCTCCTCCTCCTCCTCCTCCTCCTCCTCCTCCATCCTCCTCCTCCTCCTCCTCCTCCTCCTCCTCTCGCCTCCTCCTCCTCCTCCTCCTCCTCCTCTCGCCTCTTCCTCCTGTCGCCTCCTCTCTCTCTCTCTCTCCTGCTGCTCCTCCACCTCCTCCTCTTGCTCTTCTCCCTCGTGCTGCTGCTCCTCCTCCTCCTTCCTTCTTTTCTCCTCGTCCATCTCCATTTCTTTTCTCATCTTTTCCTTCCTCTGTCCTTCTTTTCTCCTCTTCCTTCTTTTCTGCGGGACCGTGACACACGAGAATCCCGCGCCCTCCACCTTTTCCCCTTGCCCGCCAGCCCTCATCCGAATCGGATGTTGCGCCTCGGCCTGACCCCTGATCCCTCCTCATCCATCTCCACTCCTGCTGAGGAAGAGGAGGATCGATGGTGACAGAGGGGGAGGACGAGGAGGAGGAGGAGGAAAACGAGGAGATGGAGGAGGAGGAGGTGGTGGCGGAGGAGGATGAGGGGGAGGAAAAGAAGCTGACTGCGGAGGGCCAACGAGGAGAGGGCAGGATTCGGACGAATACTATACGGTGGCGGTGATGGCGACGACGGTGACGATGACGTTGACGATGACGATGACGATGACAACGGTAATGATGATGACGCTTATGACGATGGTGCTGATGACGATGCTGATGTTGCTGCTGATAATGATGGTGAGGCTGATGCTGCTTATGATGCGGATGCTGCTTATGATGATGCTGCTGATGCTGATGATGATGATGATGCTGATGCTGATGCTGATGCCGATGATGATGCTGGTGCTTATGATCATGATGATGCTGATGATGATGATGATGGTGATGATGATGCGGATGCTGCTGCTGCTGATGCTGATGCTGTTGATGGTGATGGTGATGATGCTGCTGATGATGAGGATAATTGTGAGGATGACGATGTTGATGATTACGATGGTGGTGATGATGGTTGCGATGGTGGTGGGGATGATGCTGATGGTGATGATGCTGATGATGCTGATACTGGTGATGATGTTCATGACGCTGCTGCTGGTGAGGCCGTTGCTGGTGGTGAATGATTACAGCAAGGGTGACGATGATGTTACTGGTGATCATACGTATTGGTGATACTGATGTTGCTGATGCTGGCTCTGCTGATGTTGATGCTGATGCCGATGCTGTTGCTGATGCTGATTCGGTTGTTGTTGATGATGGCGATGATGATGCCGAGGATTTTGATGCTGATGATGCTGATGCTGCTGATGACGTGGCTCATGGTGATGGTGGCGATGGTGACGACGATGATGTGACGATGCTGCTGATGATGCTGATGATATTATCGATGCTGCTGCTGATGATGACGATGCTTATGATGCTGCTGATGTTGATGATGCTGATGATGATGCTGATGGTGCTGATGGTCACGGTGATGATGATGCTGATGGTGATATTGATGGCGACGATTATCATAGTGGTGGTGATGCTGCTGCTGATGATGATGTTGGTGGTGCTGATGGTGGTGGTGGTGGTGGTCATGATGATGCTGCTGGTGATGATGGAGGTTACGATTGTGTTGCTGCTACTGATGGCGACGCCGATGATGCTGATGATGCTGATGCTGCTGATGATGATGATCAGGATGGTGATGCTGCTGCTGATGATGATGGTGCTGATGCTGATGACAATGACGACGATGATGATGATGCTGCTGATGATGGTGATGATGATGACGATGATGCTGATGCTGATGCTGGTGATGATGATGGTGATGCAGATGGTGGTGATGATGATGGTGCTGGTGATGATGATGGTCGGGATGTTGCTGCTGAGTTAGACGATGAACATGACTATGATTACGACAGTAATGCCAGAAGGCATCTGTTGGTCAAGATGGTGATGATGCTGCTGCTGCTGATTGATGATGATGGTGGTGGTGGTGATGGTGATGATAATGCTGATGCTGATGCTGATGCTGCTGGTGCTGATGAGGATGCTGATGCTGCTGCTGTTGATGATGGTGATGCTGATGCTGTTAACGATGATGATGATGCTGATAAGGACTATGCAGATGTAGAGTAACCAGAAGGGCCGCACTGTGAGGATGAGGAGGATGAGCCTCTCCCCTACCTGCCCACCCACCTGATTTCTCCCTCGCCCGTCTTGTCTTCATTTTCATCCTCATCACCCTGCGTCATTGTTTTCTTTCTTATTCTCGAGCTTGCGATCCTCCTCAGCGTCGACCTGTTCATTCTCATCCTCGCCTCATCCTCCCTACCTCCCTGCGTCGTCCCTCCTTCCTCATCAGTCTCCTCCTCCTCCTTCCTTTGTCACTCCTTCCTCCTTTCCTTCCCTTCCTCCTCCCTCTTCATTCCTCCTCCCACGTCCCTCGCCTCCGACTGCTGCTGCATCCTCCCCTCCCCCAGAGGCGCGTGCGCCTTAAGGGCAGCACACAGTGAGGTGAGAGGTAGAACAATGCATGTGTTGCCACCGGTCAGGCCTGCACCATCGTAGACAGAGTGATGGGGAGGTGGAGGAATGGGGCTGGCAACTCGGTCGGTTGGCTCGCTGCCTGGATGGACAGTTGGCAGGTTGATTGGCTAGCAGGCAGGCAGGTTGTCCGAGCAGCTTGCTGGCTGCGTGGAAGGCTGACTGGGTGGCAGACGGGTTCGGGGCCTGCATCAATAGTTTGTTTACAGTGGATCAGTGCACTGGGAGTGCGGACCTAGGTGTTTTATTAGGAATCGTGGCCTTGGCACCGTGGGCCCGCGGTTTGCTGCAAGGTATCCTTGGCCTCGGCAGTGCGGCCCCATACTGTTTATCAACGGATCGTGACTTCGGAAACGTGAATCCACAGTTTGTTTTACAGGTGAGCGTGGGGGCCTCAGGGGTGCGGATCTTTGTCTGTGACGAGGGAACATGGCCTCTTGGTGGAGTGTTCGACGCCATGTTGGTCTACTTTGGCTATCTTGGACGCACTCTCAAAGTACCTGGAGCCATCCTGCAGCCATTCTGAGCGCAAGCAGATCCTCCAACCCCTCGTCCCCCTGCCCAAACCCAGGGGAGGGGTCAAGCTCCCAACTTGGCGTCGCTCGGACGTGTGCATGTTGTGTCTTTGCGAGAACCATCGAAGAGTTCCCCGGATCATCGAGCAACAAAAACGCGCACGAAACCGACACATGCACGGAAAAGGGACCTCCGAGCGACGGCAAGCCACCGGGAACGGCAGAAGTTGGTTCGTCGTTCCCACCCGACCTCCCGCCACAGCATTCGCGCCCAAGGCTCAGCATGTGATCGTTTTTTGCACATCGTTTTGCCGGTCGGCGCGGGCCCTCGAACCCCCCTTCCCCCCCTCTCCCCCATGGAGCAGACCTTGGCATTTTTTTGGCGCCTGTCTCGAGCAGGTGGAACGTCCCCCCCTGGGGCGCACTGCTGCAAACAGGCGCAGCAAGTAGAGGTCCGGAGCCAGACCCCCCCTCCCTCCACCATCCGCCCAGTGTTAAGTCGGGTCTGTCCCTGAGCAGGAGGGATAGTCCAAATTCAAACATGGTCAAAAATAGTCGGAGGGCGACTTTTTGAGTACCTTTGACTGCTCTTGAGTCTGTTCGTGTATGTTTAAATTTTCGTCCACCATCCGCCTGTAGGGGGACGCGCCCGACCTGAACCCATGGTGGACACGCCGAAAAACAAAGAAAAAAACGGCGCTCCCCATCGGGCGGAGGTCGCCCTCGGACCGGGAGAGCCGTCGAGCGCCCTCTGCAGACGGCGGCCGCGCGCCACGCGTGCCATCACCAGCCTCGAACTTATCCCTATCCATAAGATTGACACGCCAACAGGCGACGACAATCTTAGGGAGGCGCCCCGAAAAACTGAGGAACCCCCTAAGATTGGCATTGTGATGAGGCGATGCCCAGCTTAGGATGAGGGATCGGGATATGTGATTGCGATGAGGCGCAAGCATAGGCAATCTCAGGGATAGGCAACGCTTGTGATTACAGTGCCAATCTCAGGGATAGGGATAGCCTATCCCTAAGATTGGCATTGTGATGAGGCGATGAGGCATCGTGGTGAGGGATAGGGATGTCCATCCCCGACAAAAGGCGATGACAATCTTAGGGATGCGCCCTGAAAAACTGAGGGAACCCCTAAGATTGGCATTGTGATGAGGCGATGCCCTAAGATTAGGGGATCCCTCAGGGATGCCCTGAGGGAATCCCTATCCTTAAGATTGACACGCCAAAAGGCGATGACAATCGTAGGGATGCGCCCTGAAAAACTGAGGGCATCTCCAAGATTAGGGAATCCCTAATATGGGAATCCCTAAGATTGGCTTAGGCATAGGGATCTGTGCCAGGCTCGCAGTGCCAGGCGCCCACGGCTGCGCCGGGTGCCCCCTTAAGGGGGCCCGCCCGGCGCGGCGCCCCCGGGAGCGCCGCGTGCTCTCCGCGTGCGCAGGGGCTCGGCGTCGCTCGGACGTGTGCATTTTTTCTCGGGCATATCCAGGACCCCTTACAGGGGGATTTTCGACGAAAAATAAAAAAAATACCCCAAAACTGCCCCCAAAAGGTCAAACATTATGCAACAAATTGTCCCCAGACTATTTCTGGACTATTTTTGGTAATTTTTGGGCTATCTTGTATTTTTCATAGAAGATCCCCCTGTAGGGGGACAGGTCCGACTTGAGACGAGGACCCCAGGTAAGGGGACCCGGTTAGTGGTAGGGCGCCTGCTTCCTTGGAATTGGCCAGCATCACTGAACCACTTCTCCGACTGCGGCTCCGGCACCCACTCCCATCTGTCCGACCCGGGCTGCCATTTCCCGAC